TCACTGTCCTCAGACTGTTTTATTAGCAAAATATTTTCTCCATTCAACTGTGTACCATAGGACAGCACTGCTAGGTTATTTTATTTTGCTCAAACGTGCAGCAAGTGAAAAGTAGAAATCAGTGCTTTGAAAATGATGGCCCAAAGTGTAACAGCATAAGCATATAATATAAAAGTCATAAGTGGGATAGAAACTCCCCCCCCCCCCCCCCCCCCGCAGCAAATTTGTAACTGAATAGCTTTGGGAATATGAAAAAGGAAGAATCCCAGACTTGCATTTTCTTAGTGGAGGATCAGAAAAAGCAAAACTTTTAAGCAAATGAGGAAGCAGCTTAATAACTGGTAAAGAGAAAAAGGTGCAACTTGAACGAACAGCTTATGCATGAAAAGGGCAAAAGATCGGGCTAGAATCACTAGGTATTGAGGACACGCCTTATCAAAATGTTAGTGTTTGCACATGTGACCATCTATCTCATTGTCCATTTGTAACTCTACAGCCTAATAGTTTACATATTCAGCCTCCAAGGATGGTAAGAATAGTTGGTTTGTTTGGGGTATCAAACCAAACCTGAGGCACGGTTCTGAAACCGCACAAGGAACACCAGTAATCACATGAGATAGGCTGAGCTAAATGGTAGCTCATCATCAAATAGTTCAGATTGGCAGCAGACTCAAGAGTATCCGGTTTTAGCTGTTACAGGCAACCAGTTAAAATTTGAGGAGTTTCAAGAACCCATGGGCTATTTATTATATCCATGTCACTATTTTAGTCATAGGTGTTGAGAAAAACAAATCCTAAGATTCTCCGCCTGCATAGCTCATTACCTGCACATGGCATTAGGTTAAGGAAATCTCCCTCCCCTGTTCTGATCCTGCTTACATTATCCTATGTGTGTTTTGTAGCTGTAATCGGCCATCTTATTTCCATGCTATTAACACAAGTGGGACAATTAATTCTGAGTGGCAAATTGCAACGAAGATTCAGAGGACAAAGTCATTAATGATATCAGTTGATATATAAATGGTAATTGCCACTGTTGGGCAGTCTAAATGTGAGTTTTATGCAGATGGGTGCTATGCCAGCAACATACAAATATTCCACTTACAGTAGTGTAGTGACAGTCATAAAAAAATATTGCTGTCTCCTAAAAGGATGACATTAGCATCAACTTCCAAAACGACAGGGTACATAACAAAATCTATGTTAAATAAGATTTATTCAGGACAACATTTTGTTTTCCACAATGACCAAATGACACCATGAAGTGTTCCAAGATGTGGGTGAAATGATCTCATTCCATTCACGTTCCCATATTGGTACTAATCGGTAAAGGTATTATTAATATCTAGTCCTATGATTGTATGCACAGGACATACATAAAGTTACTTAATGTGGTTTTCTGAATAACATGATCTTCTGAATGATAAATTAATGACTTGGAGTAGATTTGCCCAACACATTTAAGCTAAAATGTGATGGTTAATTTGTGTTTCAAAGATTTTGCTGATGACTTGTACAACTGTTCTTAAAAAGTGACAGATGTTTTCCTAAATATGTCGTTCATTTTTTTAATATTCTGCCAACTTTTCTAAGATGATGATACTTATAAAAAGGAAACCAGCTCAATGCATCTATAGTGCAGCTTTGCAGTTTATGTGTTTGTAATTCTGTGAGCAAGGACTCCGAAATTATAATAGTAATGAGTGACCAAGCATTCCAAATAACTCTTTTGTCTGACCGACAACATATATAGATGGAGGTGGCATTGTTCAGATGTATCTAAAGTAATTCCACATATTATACACTGAAATCTATTCACGCATCCACACACAAATATACATAGTGAGAGACAATGTTCCTACATTACACTAAGCAATATTGTGCTTTACATTTTGTGAGAGCAGCCATTATGGTTTCTGATTTGTAAAATATGATTAATGTCTGTGTTGCATGAATTCTGATGTATTCAGTAAACATGGTTAAAGTAGTTGAGCATGGTACATAAACTAATCAAATGTGTGTTTTTTTAAAAAACTTACCTAGTACCATTTGAATGAAGGTTATTCTGCTTTGTTGCTGGAGAGTTTCAGCATTACATATTTTGACCAAAATTGTTGCCTTTAAAAAAACTGCTATTATTTTGGTTTTGCTTGTTGATGCTTGTTGATCTCACCACCTTAAATTAGTATGGTGCTGTCACAGCAGGGTTATCTGCTGGGGTGGAGAAGTGACAATGTCAGCCACAACTGTGACAATCAGAGAGAGCCCCTTCCTCTTTTAGTTATGTTGTATGTGCGGCACAAAAGAAGGATAGGGATTTGATTGCACAGTTGCTGGGGTCATCTTGACTTTTTCATCTCTCTTCTAAGATGTTCCTATGTTGGAAGATATCAAAATATGAAGAAAGAGAGAGAGAGAGAGAGAGAGAAAAGAAAGAAAGATTGAAGAAAAGTGAAAGACGAAAAGGCTGAGTCTCCAGGGCTTGGTTTTGTCCTTTATATCATTGTTAGAGGAGCAAGTTTTGATATACAATGCGTTTTTCTTCTTGTTGTGCTTCCTATGAAAATGTGTACATAGTACATATACCAGAGAGAATTCAACATTTTATACATTTGAAGGCATTCAGAGATTGGTAGTTTGGAAAAAAGTTATAATGGCACAATATCAAGGCTTTTGATGCTACTCAACGGATATATACATAGACATGACATATATGTGCGGGTATGTGAGTGTGTATATGTATATATACATATACACACGTGTCTGTGTGTCTGTGTGTATATATATATGTATATACTGTATATAATCATATTTTATATATAAGAAATATAACATGAGCATGAAATAGTAAAAATGGATAGACAAATGGGAGACAGAAGGTCAAAATGTAAGCCCTATCTTCAAAAGTTTTCAAGCAGTAAAATACAATGAAGCCAATAAAAACTGCAGAATAAACAAAATGCTTTTGGGCAAGGAACACTTTAGAAAGTTTTGTGGGGGGGAAAATTGGCTGTGGCAGATTATAATATCTTTGGGAAATCTGTTACACAACAGCCCACCCAATGAACAAATACATTCAATTCTGGAATGATCAGGATCCAAGTAAAATAAAGCTTAAAAAAAGAGCAGTTGTATCACAAAAGCTCTTAAAGATAAGGAGAACTTTGGCCCTGGGTGTTGCACATAAAGCAGGTCTAAGTTAATCATATTTAAAAAAAGGAGGCTGGATGTGCCAAAGACTAGGGCAGGCACTAGATGCTATGTGTGTGACCCAGGCTGAAAGGGGAATGAGTTCCTCTAAAAGTGGGGGTGGCAAACCCAGTAACCATGGGCTTCTCCCCATCTGGCAGCTTTGAGTCTTAGAGGCAGTTTAAATACAGTTTGTTTATGTGGCAGAGAGGGTGGGAAGTCCAAATACCATCAAGATCCTTTGGTGGTGTGAATGGACACCTGGACATACACAGAAGCTTATTTCTTCCTCAGTTCTTGGAATTAATTCCCTTAATGTAATCAAACAGTCATTTGTTTCCCATTTCTCTTTATACTTGTAAGCTCATGAAGCACAGAGAAAGTGTAGTAGACCTTATCTCCTGCTCCTTAGCAAGGCTGAACATGCATCAGTACATCAGTACAGATGATCCCAGATAATCCAGGCTTACTTTTTTGATTTTTTTAAAAAAAGATTTCTCCCCAGATTTAGCCTGTCCAGATTCCAGTGGGTGTTTATCACAGTTTGGACAGCTCTGTTGATTTGGAGAATGGCTGAATTAACAACAGTGGAGAAAAGAAAGTATATTAACCACATTGTTCCCAGAAGCAAATTTTAAAGGTTATGGTGAGGGAAGTCACTGCTGTTTCTGATTCTCATTCTTATCAAACTGTAGCCTATTATAAAATTCTGAAAGGCTTTTCACCAGGATGGCTTGGAATATAGTAAGTGGAACACTTACAAGACAAGGTCATGTCAGTTCATTTTTAGAGAAGCAAGTGTCAGACAACCCTTCACTGATGGTGGTGTCAGTCTCTTGAGTAGGCTGTGCGGCCTACCATCCCAGGACCACACATCCAGGCTCTTCTTAATATGGATTGAAATGGTGCCTATTCAGGAATTGTGGGGTGGGGAGTCAAACCTCCATTCTGATGTCTCTGCCTTTTTCAGGTGGAGAAGTATCAGGCACTATGAACAGGTTGTATAGGAGACTTAAGACAAAAGCAATTGCTACAAAAAGGAAACTCATGCCACCATCTGAGACCCATGGCTTTACTAGAATGCCCACCATCATTCCCAGCCTGCAAATGCTCCTTCCCAATGCAAGCCATTCATTTTGGCTTGACTGTTGGTATCATGACTAAATGGCTGAAACACTTAACTAGTTTGACTGTGGCTGGGTTGCAATAGTGACTGTTATAAAATAGAACTTGGAAGTTTCTTTAGGAGAAAACAGGGAGTCTGACTTGACAATATATTCCAGAGAAATTCTTCCCATAACTTCTTTTATTTTGCCGGTACGCTGATGATGCATAATAAAGAAATGCCTTGCATCATTAGTATGCATTTTGCCCGGAGACCCTCTGTGTATGTCTCAGAGTGGCATCTTAATTCTTACCTACGAAATCTTGGCTGATGGCGATAAGGGGCTATTTCTGCTCTTAAAAACTAAGGGGAAATATCATTTCCACACTGTACTAAAGCAAGCTACCCTTAACCATTGCCCTAAAAGGACCTTCTGTTCTTTCTTGCTAAAGCGAGCGCTAAGCTTCTGCCAGCCAAAGTAATCTTAGCGCATTATTTCTGCCTGCAGGAGTACCCTAGAAGTTGCCATGTTACCATGGGAAATAAAGAGGGAAGCCCAAATCAAGAGACAGGTGCATTGCTTTCTTCTCCCATTAGCAGCTACGGACCCCGAAGCATGACTTCTTTGGAAACGATCTCTTTTGTACATTACGGAGAATTCTGTGAAATGGCAGGCTTGTCTCTGAACCTCACTACTTAAGAATTGTCACATCTTTCCTAATAACCTGCACAGAAGGGGCCCAGGCAGTTCATCATGTGAATGTTGTAACCTTTGGAACAGCTTTGCTACCTGCCTTTCTGATGGGAGGATGGATAGAATAGGCCAGGGCTCAAAGAAGAAACAGAGTCCAGGCCAGGTCAAATGAGAAGCTGCCAGTTGGATGAGATGAGCAGATGATGGCACATCCTGTGGAAGTGGCTCTCTCAGTTCAGTTGCAGTCTTGCTCCAGGGAAGGCTATGACTGTCGGCCTTCCCACAGCGCACGGTCGGAAGGGAGAGGGGAAGAGAACTGAAGCAGCACTTCCTTTTGATAGATAAGTAGCCTCTTAGAAACAGAATACCCCAGAAGCAGTCTGGCTCTACCTGTTCCTGTAGGTTCTTCTTGGCATTCGGATTAAAAGAGAGAGAGAGAGGGAGAGAGAGGGCTTTGCACACAATGACCACTGCCACACAAGGCTTGCTGTGGTTAGGGAGCATGACAGATACAGAAGGAGAGACACACAGTTAAGACTTCAGTGTTTGTGGACCGGAGAAGGCTGTGCCCTCACCTCCATTGGTTACTGCGGGGCGGGGGAGGGGAGGGTTCTTCCAGCAGCACTTCTGTTACGTTTAAAGTTCAAGGGCGTCATTGGAACGAGCAGAAACTGGAGTGGATCTGGCAGCTGAGCCTCACCTCTGTCCAGCTGGCTCCATGTGCGTATCGCTGCATTGGCCTGGGGCGGATGGATGAGGAGAGGCTGGATTCTGCTGCCTCCCCAGTAGTCTGAGATAGAGGCCCTGCAAAAAGGTTGGCAGGTCCACGGGCTGGGCTGGGCCAAAGCTGCTCAGCATGGCCCCTTCCCTTTGGTAGTGTTAGTTGTACATCCAGTTGTCAGTTAACAGGTAAAATCCTCAAAAGTTCCTCGGGCTGGGTGGTGAGGTAGGATGTTGGCTGCGTATGTCATGCCTGCTGGATGGCCTCGGATACTCTCACATGGATTCTGGAAAGGTGGAGAGGAAAAGCAAAAAGGAGCGTAAACAGAATGGACATGAAAGTAGCATGGTAAACAAGAAACACTGATAAATGGGACCCTAGGTCCAGGATTTGCGGGTTCAAGAGACTCCATGCCATGGAAGGGGAGATGGTTTAGGAATTATTTAAAAAAAAACAGCTGAACTTCTGGAACATAATCAGACTGGGACTAAAAGGCATCTCCCTAGGTATTCCTCATCATCTGTCATAGAAGACTTTGAGAGACTGGTCTTGTTTCATTCAAGTAGCCCAGGGAGATAAGATGCTTTGCTGCAGATACAGTAGCTTCCTGTCTCTGCCAGTGCTCCTACATGAACTAGAAATCGTCACTGCCCCGTAATTGGAAGTTTTTGTGCCACTTGGCACAATTCGTTGGTGCTAGTCATGATGACAAGATGACAGGACGAAAGAGTAAAAATCCTTTCATCCTGCCATCTTGTCATCGTGACTAGTTAGAAACTGTACACGACTAGCACATCATACAGTTAGAGATCTGATATTGCAAGAAGACTTCACGTCTTGCAGTGCACATTATAGGAGAGGTTGCAGTACTCCTCCTCTTAGAGGAGGAGGATGTAAATTCCCACGAACCATATTAGTAGCCTGCCTCAAATTTTATAGAGAAAGGTAATAAAGGCTTTGGATACTCGTGTACCAGTGTCACCAAGAGCTGTGGTGGTGCAGTGGTTAGAATGCAGTATTGCAGGCTAACTCTGCCCACTGCCAGGAGTTCAATTCTAACTGGCTCAAGGTTGACTCAGCCTTCCATCCTTCCGAGGTCAGTAAAATCAGGTCCCAGATTGTTGGGGCAATATGCTGACTTCGTAAACCGCTTAGAGAGGGCTATAAAGCACTGTGAAGTAGTATATAGGTCTAATTGCTATTGCTAATATTATCTTGTATGACCCAGGAAATCTATTGGTAGCTGCATTCCACCTGAGGTCCACATTGTTCCAACTCTCTTGAGACTTTGTAAAGCTGTAACACTCTGGCTCTTCGGTCAGGCCCTGGGGTAGCAACACAGCTAGAATACAACCCGCTAAACTGTTGTATTTTTGGCATGCTATACTAGCTCTTAAAGACTGATTTGTCCTACCAAAAATAAATATGTGCTAGACGAAGTAAAGAAAATGGTTGTTGCTAGGTTTCAAAGTGATTGGGTAAACAGTTAAGGGGCTGAGTAGATAATGATGGGGAGGAATCCTTAGCCATGGTAAGCCACCACAAAGGAGCATGGACAGGTGTAGAATAGCTAAATTGATAATTGAGCTTTCAAATGGCTTCTGGTCATTTACTGAATTTATTTGTAAGGTACCCTGAGATTTAGGGGCCTAGCAAAGTTAACCTAATATTTAATTAATATTGTAGATATAAATAAATAGAACTGGGTTCCTTGTTGTATGGTATTATAGGAAGTGTAATTCTACCAGAGGGCAATAGGATTCCTAATACAGAAATCTCAACTGCTTCACTAAACTGTGGATTCTTTATTGGTTGAGAGAGTTTGGCACAATTAAAATGATACAAACTCCATGATCATTGAGAGTATAGCCAGGCCATCCACATGACAGATGACGAGAGTTGTTATGAGGTGTAGACACTTACATGGCGCTTCACATCATCCAGGCTCAGGGCAACACCCTTGTCACTGTTATTCCCTTTGTGTTTCTTCTCACACTTGTCACGGCGACAGAGGTGGAACTTAATAACCTAGAGATAGAACAAGAGGAAATGTTCATCATTGGGAACTATTAATGGGATTATTTAGAATTCTTATGTACACATAGTACGTCAGTGAATAAAATTCCATATGATTGAACTGTAACACTAATTACACATTGACATGAGCCTAAGGTGACCCTACATGGAAGTGAAATTCTGAAAATGGTGTATTTCAGTGAAGTATGATGAAGAATTACTTTCCTATTGACTCAGTTTATTGCTAACACTTAAAACCTTTTTCTTAACTGAAGAGTACTAAAAGTTTGCTTCAGAACTGAATTACAGTGTCAGGATTCTGGCGATCGCCCTAATTAAATCATAAGCCTCGAGCCAAGCTTCAAAAAACTTCAAAAGATTTATTAGGAGCAACATGCCGGCATGAAGCCGACTCTGTGACACATAATTTACAACCACCTATCACCAACGAAACACATTCCTGGGCTAGGTGTCATCACCCACATTCTCCAATAAAGGATTTTTGTGGGTAGAACACCCGGTTGCCTAAGTTACAATCTTTGTGAAATAAGCTTGGAATGTGCTTCTGATTTTATTTGCCATATGCTCCTTCAGTTCTTTCCCTCTCTTTCTCCTGGCAACTTGGAAACAGGCATAGAAATGTTTTACAAGTTGACAATGTGTTTATTGGTTACCTCTTTATAAGCCATAAGTTGTATTCCTTTCCCTCATGTTAACAGAGACCAAAACTCACCTCATAGGCATAGTCAAAAAGCTCAAGCACAGTCAGTAAACTGGCTCCAATAAACAGCCCCATCTGTCCCCCAATGTCACCTGCATGGGAGAGACAGGAAGACATATATGAGGTCTTTTCCTTAAGTGGAATAATTTCCATGTCTGGGTAATCCCCAGTTATGCCAACCCACACTGAGGGGAAAGGGGAAGCATGGACATTTTGCATTACATTGAAGTGAGCCCCAAAAGGTCCCCCCTGCCCTGGAAGCCTGGCATTTACAGGATCTGCCCCAACTGGCAGAAAGAAAAAAAGTGATCTCACCCAGCAGTCCAGCTACTTCATATGCTTTCTTCTGCTCAATTGTTTCATAGTTCAAAGCTTCAAAGAAAATGTCCAGAACCAGGATGTTCTCCCTGCATAAGATGAAGGGAAGCGAAAGGGAGCCAAACTTTGAAATCTGCCCACCAAAGAATCCTGTAAGTATATTGAGGTCTGGAGTTTTGGCTAATGACCCACTCAGCAAAACAAGCACCCATAGCTGTAGAAGTGAGAACAGATACACACACTCATATGTCTGCACCCAAAGAAACAAATGATGATTGCAGCTGTTTGTGGAATCATCACAGGATATGTAGAATATTTCTTCAGAGCAGGATTGGCTATAGAAGAGATGGAAGCTCTTTCTCTTTCTTTCTTTCTTTCTTTCTTTCTTTCTTTCTTTCTTTCTTTCTTTCCTTCCTTCCTTCCTTCCTTTTTGTCCCTCCCTCCCTCCCTCCCTCCCTCCCTCCATATCTATCTGTCTGTCTGCTTACCTACCTACCTACCTACATATCCATTTATAATCTATATCATCTATCTCTTCTAGCTGTCTGTCTATCTAATCTTTTATCTATTACATTTATTTGCTACACGTCTCACCACATCTCATAGGCCAGTGGTCCCCAACCTTTTTTGTACCAGGGACCAGTTTCAAGCACAAACACTTTTTCAAGGGGGGGGGGGAAGAGTCCGAGTTTGGTGGTTTGCTTGCAGACGTTTCATTACCTGACTAGGTAACATCTGATGTTGTTACCTAGTCGGTAATAAAACGTCTGCCAGCAAACCACCAAGTTCAGGGAGCGCCTCGGCCCTGCCTCCCTCAGCCCCATCCCTCAGGTGTCTCCCTCCCTCCCTCAGGTGTCTGCCTCGTTCCTCTCTCAGTCGCTCTCTCGCTGCTCCACCAGCCCAGGAAGAAACTGCTTCAAAGAAGCCGGGGGGGTGGGTGGCTTTTCCTGTCGCCGCAGCTCCTCCGAAGCGCCCGTTTACCCCCACCCCGCCCGCCCGCGCGCGGTTCAACCCAGTGCTCCGTTCTGCCTGCCTGCCTGCCTGCCTGCCTGCCTTCGTTTCGGAGCAGCTTCGGCTGATAAAAAGAGGCGAATAGTTATTATTCTCAGCTGAAGCTGCTCCGAATCAACCAGACAGGCAGGCAGGCAGAACGGAGCACTGAATTGAAGCGCGCGCGGGCGGGTGGGGTGGGGGTAAATGGGCGCTTCGGAGGAGCTGCGGCAACAGGAAAAGCCACCCCCCCCGGCTTCTTTGAAGCAGTTTCTTCCTGGGCTGGTGGAGGAGCGAGAGAGCGACTGAGAGAGGAACGAGGCGGGAGGAAACCGAAGCTGCTGAGCCAGAGAGCAGGACAGGCTTCGGTTGCTTCCTCCCTCCCCTTCTTTCATTTGTGTCCTTGATCCCCGATCCCAGCAGCATTCATCGAAGGCGAAGAAAGCCGCCATTTTTTTATTTTTTTTTATTTGCGGCCCAGTACAGAGTGCTCCACGGACCGGGACCGGTCCGCGGCCCGGTGGTTGAGGACCCCTGTCATAGGCAACCCTGGGCAGCTTACAATAACAACAATTTTTAATTATAAGTAAAGATGGTGATTCTGGGTGGCTTACAACATTAAAACAATAAAACCACGAGAAATAAATATTGCTAATAACAATAACAATACAATTATAATTAAAGATGTGAAGGGAAGATGCAAACAAAGTGTGTGGGGGGGGGGGAAGGGGAGAGGTGGGATCTTCTATTGGTCCATCAACCATCTCTTCCACACTGGGGCCCCAAGCCATCTGGCAGAGCCAGATCTTCAGACTTTTGTGGAAGGCTGGGAGGGTGAGAGCATATCTCACCTTGTGGGACAAGCTGTTCCAAAGGGCAGGGAGGCCACAGCAGAGGAGGCTCTTCTGGACTCCGCCAGCCAGAATTCCTTAACCAATGGGGTTTGCAGCATACCCCCTCTGCCAGCATGGGTGAAGTGGGCCAGTCCTATTGGGGTAAGACAATTCCTCAGATAACCTGGACTCATGCCATGCAGGCTTCAATGGTGATCACCGATACATTGAATGGCACCTGGAAGCAGACTGGAAATCAGTGCAGCTCACAAAATAGTGACATAATACAGCTCACTCTAAGAGCTCCGGAAACTGCCCACTCCACCACACTCTGCACCAGTTGTAGTTTTTGAATGCTCTTCAAGGATAGCCCTATGTAGAGTGCATTGCAGTAGTCCAAGTGTGAGATGACCGGAGTTTGAATGATTGAGAGAAGGGACCCATGATCCAGGAAGGGGTGCAGCTGGACACAATATGAGTATTTAAAAGCCTTTCACCAACTGGGAAAGGAAGAAATGTTCTCCTGGAGTGCCTTCCACTTGCTAAAAGGATTGTTTTTAATAGGAAGGAAGAGCCAAACAGTGCCTTCTTCGGTGCCTGGCTGTGCCTCTGTTCTTTCCTCATCTGCCTCTTTCCAATGCTGTCTTTCAGTTCTAAATCTCTGACAATACTTACAGCTTTGCCCTGTGTTATTAGTTTCTCTCTTGGCCAGTTAGTGAGGGACAGGAAAGGGAAATGCAGAAAAAAAGGTAATAGATGGGTTGGATGCAAGGACAACACTCAGCCAGGAAAAGAAACTCACCCAATGTACTGTTCACTCTTGTTGTATTTCTTGGCCAAATACTTGGCTGAGGCCTTGCTGGGGATCTTCACCATGGACAGCTCTTTACCATAGCGTGTGACGTTGCAAGGCATCTCACATAAACAATAATCATTGTCTCGCTCCACCAAGAAGTCTGGAGAGCCCAAAGGAAGGGGAGAAGTCACAATGATTTCAAATAACAAAATACCAAAAGCAGTTCACGATATCTCATTTTAAGAGACTGGAGAGGTGATGTCTATTGGTCCTTACCAAGGGCTGGATCTGCACATTCTTTGTACTGTTCAGGGGTGCAGTACGGAGCATCACCTGCAAAAGAGCATAAAAGTGGTGTTATGCTTTAATGCAAGCAGCTATTATGGCAAAGTTCATTCCTGCTGAATTTCAACCCTTAATGCAGAGGTCTCCAAACTTGGCAACTTTAAGACTTGTGGACTTCAACTCCCAGAATTCCCCAGCCAGCATAGTCCCTCCCCCTCCCTCCCTCCCTTTCTCCCTCTCTCTCATCTCCAGTATTATTCTCCAGTTTCTTGTTCTTTCCAGTGGAACAAAACTCTCCCTTCTCTATCCTGCTTTCTTTCTGTTGGAAGGAGGGAGGAAAGTTTTTACAATCATATCTGAAAGGTGCAAATGATTGAGGGATCAAATAATTTTGCAAACAGGGTGTCTTATTTTAGAGCCAAATAATTTAAGTTACTTGGTTTAAATCTTTACTTGTTTTATATCTTGTCTTTTGTTAAGGAGCTTAAGGTGTTGACGGTTATTGTTTTATCCTGGCATTCTATTTTAGGAGTGTGGTGTATGGTAAGTATATATACATTCTTAAATATATGCACATCTACATACACGGTTGTGATATGGACAGATTTATTGGGTGAGGGGAAAAGTATATGTGTTTATAAATATAAACAGTATATTTCTATCTTCTCTTTTTAGTGAGGAATCAAATTAAGTCATTTTGTTCCTTTTGGGCTAATAAGGCAATATTTATATTTTAATGATTGTATTATATTATGCTGTTGGGTTTTTTCAATGTATGATTTGGTAAGCCTGGAATTATTGATGTTGTATAGCTGTATTTTTATTAGGTCAGCGACATATATTAAAGTGCCTGTACAACACTTATAGAAATTGATTTTATGAGAAGTCTATCACATCAACTACATAAACATTTGAATGAAAAGATGGAGAACTTATATTTGGGACCATCTTGATTTTGTGATTAAAAAGTTGTTAAAGATGGATACAGTTGATATATTTATTTCCAGAACTGCTGCCTCTACACATCTTTCTTTGTGAAACATATGTCAAGGTGAATTATATTTAGTTGAAATCAACACTCTCCTAGAAATTCACAGAAGGAAATGAGAGAACTGCCACTCCTTCACAGTGCTCTTCGCCATTTTTTTTTCATGTACAGTTTTTTCTGTCCCAGCGGTTAAACTAGGCTGTTCTGTGTGCAAATAAGTCCTCTATTATTTCTGGGTTTTGAACCCTCCTTTAATGTCTTACACTGTTTTCTGTTACTTTTATATCTGGAATATCCACACAATGCAGACACTGTTTGTCAGATTCCCTTCTCTATGAACCTTCTATATACCAAATTATGTGTTATAAAGTAGCTAGAAGTAAGAAAAAAAAAAACCCTATACTGGGAATCCTTGATTAACAACCACAATTGGGGCCAGCAATTCTGTTGCTAAGTGATGCAATTGTTAAGCAAGACATCCCATGACCACGTCTTAGGATTTTACGGCTGGCTTCTCAATTGACTTTGCTTGTTGGAAGCCGACTGTTAAGAATGCAGATGGTGACTGTGTGACCGCAGGAGTTTGCAACAGTTGTAAACACCTGCCAGTTGCAAAGTGCAGAAATCTTGATCACATGGCTGCAGGGGCATTGTGACAGTCTTAAGTACAAGGGCTGCTCATAAAGTCACTCTTTCAGCACCATTATAACTTTCAATCATCACCAAACAATGCGATTATTAAGCGAGATCTACCTGTAGGGATATTATTTCTGTTTCTTATATTCTAGATATAGGGAAAAAAATAACCAAGCGGAAAAAAGTCTAACATTAGTGCTTTCCATCCTCACACTTTGAAAAGGGAAAACATTTTCCTTCTTAGGAGATGTATTCTAATACTAGGTGTCCTACCTCAAATAATCCAGGAAAAGCTTTACAGCTTAACTGCTCTGGTTATCAGAAACTGGTCCAGAGATGGATAGATTGACATTAATAATAAAGGATAAGGAAGAAACAGAGTATTTTTTTAACATGGGATTTGTTTTATCAATGGAGAGGTAGAAATTAGAAGATGAAAGATCACTGGTATGCATAAATAAAGGATGTAAGAATTGGATTATACGTAAGTAAATATTAATATTATTAATCTAGTTTTTATTATCAATATTATTATCACCAGTATTATTATTATATGGTAAAAGTAAATTGAGATCCAGACAATACACTGTTTATTAAGCACTTATGTATTTTAAATAAAAAAAGTATAAATAAAATTTAAAAAAGAAACTGGTCCTCAATTTTTCCAGAGAGCAAATGTTATTTTAATCCATTGTGCAAGCAAAGTATCCAATTAAAAATGCTACACCTAATGAAGATATTGCCATTGGCTCTATTTTCTTTGCATCTTAAGGCAACCTTACTAGTCAGAACCTACGCTGAATCTGAACACAGTGTCGCGTTATGTAACCAAAACTGAACTCAAACCCCTGCATTAATCCATGCCTTTACTTGTCTATCGTATCTTAAATAATGATACCATACCAATTTCTAATCAGGCTTGATCTTCAATCTGAAACATGCTCATCCCCCATTTTTCTCATCATTTGTCTGTGCTGTTCTGCCTACTCCTCCCTAGGAGATGCAGCTGACTAAAATAATTAATTCACTTCCTTGTTTGGATTATGCTAATTACATATCTGGAAGAGGTATTCTGATTAACAAGAAAAACTCTTTACAGACCAAGGTGAGGTGGTTGAAAGAGTCCTAGGATCTGTTCAAGCATGCCTTAGAACTGGAGACCGGGAGTGGCTCAATTAGGGGAAGTCATAATTAGAGATGAACCATAATAAGAAGCACTTTTAAAGAATGTTTTCAGCAACTGTAAAACACCTTACTTCCATTGCTTTGGGGCAATGTTGGTTATTTACTTTGAAAATAATTGAAAATATTCATGTCTTGACAAAGTAGTACCCTCATTCTGACTATGGTTTATTGAGCCACCGTGATACTTCTAAGGAGCTAGGGCTATTGAGGTATATAGCACAGACCAGGTAGACTAGATATTATCATATGAATTAGCATATTCTTCTGGGAGAGTATGGTGGAAATTGTGGTGAGTTATCTGAAATCAACAATTTGGAAAAAGCTAACCTGTGTAATGATATTTCAGCTTTTTAAAGGAATGTTCACATGACTTCAGCATTTTTTTTCCACTTGCAGGTGGTTTAATTATGTCATCATGCACCAAATTAGACTGTTTATTAGATGTTGTGAAACCAGGTATATGATACTGATTTGCCAGCTTTTTTTCAAATGGAAGAAGGTAATGCAGTAAAATGGCTTAGAAGCAGACACAGAAGATTGTTTCATATTCTTTTGTACATTGCCCTTGGTTCCTATAAGAGGAAAGGTGGTATATATATCATCATCACTATCATAATCATCTAAAGAATTGAAAACCTACAACAGTTAATTCCACAGCTGAATATATTACGCAGATTAACATACTTCTGCTGACTGCTGGCTGCCAGCAGTTTGATTCTGACCCGCTCAAGGTTGACTCATTCTTCCATCCTTCTGAGGTCAGTAGAGTGAGGACCTAGATTATTGGGGGCAATATGCTGACTCTGTAAACTGCTTAGAAAGGGCTGTAAAGCACTATGAAGCGGTACATAAGTCTGAGTGCTATTGCTATACGGCACATTCTTATATTGATTCATCTAGTGCAGGGGTGGGCAAACTTTTTGGCTCGGGGGCCTCATTGACTTTTAAAATTTGACAGACGGGCCGGGTCAGCACAAGATACGATACATATAAAAAACTGCAAAATCTCCGCAAAATCAAGTCACTGCACCTAATGCGCCACCTGGTGTCGAAATGCCTGTCATTACAAGTCAAAATCAAATGAATGCAATCATTCAATCATTCACATCAAACTTTAATTCTGTACCCATCTTCGGCGGGCCGGATTAAAAAGACCAACGGGCCGGATGTGGCCCGCGGGCCGTAGTTTGCCCACCCCTGATCTAGTGCAATATTGTTTTTGATTGCAACAGTAATCCTACTGCTGCTGCCCAAAACTTTTTAAACTGAAGGTCCAGTTGAGGATTAGGTGGTACTATGGCTAGAGGTTAAGACATTGGACTTGTCAGCTGGAAAGCCGACAGCCCAGGTTTGAGACCGAAGCGTTCTGCAACGGGGTGAGCACCCGTCTTCACCTAGCTCCTGCCCACCTAGTAGTTTGAAAGCATGCACTTGTGAGTAGATAAATAGGTACCACTTCAGTGGGAGGAAACAGTGCTCGGTGATGTCATGTTGTCTGTTTGTGGAAACATCTTTGGACTGTCAGTGGCCTTGAAATGGAAATGAGCACTGCCCCCTATAGTCGGCAACGACGAGCAAAGTAACATCTGCAGGGACTTCTTTTTTTCCAGGTAAGTATCTGGGATCTTCTACCCTATAAATCTTGTGCTTTATGACTTCATCTGATTCTCATTTCTTGCTTGCTTAACCCTAACCCTAACCCTGCCATCTTGTCACCATGACTAGCACCAACGAATTGTGCCAAGTGGCACAAAAAACTTCCAATTACAGGGCAGTGACATGATTTCTAGTTCATGTAGGAGCACTGGCAGAGACAGGAAGCTACTGTATCTGCAGCAAAGAATCTTATCTTCTCGGGCATGGTTGAAATTCTGGACTGTGGTGGTTGCTGGGTGTTTGAGAGTTGGCAATCACTCTCTCCGCTTCAGTCTGCAAGAGGAGCTGTCCAGCACTGCCAGCAGTCAGCTGACTTGGTGAAGAATTGGACTGGGCAGAGGATTATTAGCCTATGCAGAGTTTCAGCACAGTATCTGGTTGAGATGTACTGGTATCTCCCAAATGCAGGGGTGTCAAACTCGCGGCATCACGTTGGCATCACGTGACGTATTGCAACTTTTTCTCCCCTTCGCTAAACCGGGCATGGGCATGGCCAGCGTGTGACGCCTCTGGCCCGTGGGCCACGAGTTTGACAGCCCTGTCCTAATGTGACTACACTTAACTGTCAATATTCATTTCTTATCCCCCCATCCCCACCTCATGCTTCAAATCAAATCTTACCTTCAAGGAGCTGAACCTTATTTCATTACTCTTTTGAATACAGAGCAGTTATTCTGGAGAACGCAAAACTGGGGGATAAATCCAGCTGGGGAACATTAGATTTCTGCTTCTGCAGATCCTTTGCATTTATTACAGCCATGCAGTTGTCCTCTATATTCCTGATTCATTCTGGAGACCACCCTAAAGGAGATGTCTAATCCAGTTTCAGCTCTGGGCATTTCTGAGGGCATTAACATAGGCAACCTGTTGTTACCCAGTGTGGCATGTTAGCCCACCATCTAAATATCAAAATAGTGCGCACATTCCGGAGTGTACTCCCATAAATCATCTCTTCATCTTGCAAAGGACTCAATAAGAAAATGATTTTTTAAAAAAAACACCCAATTGCCACTTTTATGGACTTCAGTCCTTAGCTTCCCTTCGGAGCTGCCCGCCCTTCTTACCAGGCATATGCACCATACGACAGTTGCAGTTCTCCACCAAGTAGCGGGTTTCACAATCTATGCGGCAAGCAGTGATGCTGTAGGTGTCGTAGAATTCAGACTCCACTGTCACTGACTTGCAGTCACCCCAAGGTGGAGGAAGGTAGATAAGCTGAGCAACAGAGGATAGAATGAGAAGGTCAATACCTCCTTAATCTTTCCTAAGGCAAAAAGAAGAGTTCCATTTGGCCTTTCACGATGATGTCCTACATACAGGCTCAGTAGAGTTTACAAATGAAATAAGGCAGCAATAAACACGTAAAATAATACTACCAGTAGCATATCCTTGTGTAGATAAGGATACAGCTCTGAAGTCCCTGCCCCCTACTCAGTAGCACTAGCCATCTGTCCTCAGCCTGGATTGCGGGATCAGATGCCAGGGATGTTTCAATCTAAGCCGTTCTTTTCAAAGGAGAATGGAAGAAAAATCAATGTGGGATGCTTCTATTTTATTTTTTTTCCTTGCAACAATTTACATTCACTCATTATCCTGCTTTTCTTCCAGAAACCCAAGGCAGCTTACATAATACCACTTTCCATTTTTATTCATGATAAAATAGGAACAAAACATGTTTTATTCAATAAATGTACCTTGTGAGGTAGGTTTTGCTGAGAAACACTGAGTGGCTGAAAATAATTCAGTGAGCTTCCATGAATCCAGGTGCTCCTGGTTCTAGCCCAGTGCCTTAAATCGTAAAACCATTCCTGCTCTTTAGCACGGATACACGAAGGTATTTTTAAATAGAGCAAATGTGTCTTCAACGTACCCGCTGCTCTTGGCAGGACACAAACGTTTGGAAGCCGGGTGCCACTCCAAATCCCAGCTGGTCAATGAAGGGTGGTTCATCCTGGCTGTGGATCTGCACTTTAATCCCAGCTTCGAAGGACGTCTCATCTATGGCACAGAGAGATAGAAAGCATGGGAAGAGCAAGTGAGGTGGGCTCTTTCTTTTAATCTGACACCCTCCAATCCCCAGGGGCATCAAGGAGAAGCATCCATGCCTCAAGGAGAAGCATGAAGTTGAAGCTGCAGGGGCGTGGAGTGCAGGTTCTCTGCACCCTCTCAACCCACACGTGCCATAGTTTCCCCTGTGTTAGGGGTTAACAACCTTTCTGGGCCAGTGAGTGCCTTTGGGGAGCCTCTTTCGGGTGTCGTCACAAAATGACTGCCGGGATAGATGAAATCAGTTCTAGACATTTATTTACCAGCAAATGGATAAGCTTGCGGCCTGAATATTCCTCTAGACTTTACTCTTTGTTTTGTTTTGTTTTCTGAGCAGCTGGGCACGCTTTCAAGTAAAACATTGGGCTACAATCCCCCCTCCTGTTTTCATTGTAGAAAGAAGCCCAGAGGCCTTCTAATAAATAAAGATGATCTAGAAATTGAGGCTTCCCTTTGCAAGCATGCCAGCTTTCCATGTATTTCTTTAAACTAAAGGATGTGTTAAAATATTAAAATCAAACAGAAAGAGGAGGCTGGTAAATACCAAAAGAGATGTTTTTGGCAGCCCGTTGCTCCCCCTCCCATTCCTTGATCTATTATGCAGCAATTTTAGGACTGATTGACTGACCAGAATCAAAATACCCAAAGGCTCACACTAACCAGTCTTTCTCTCCATTAATGCAAAGGTAGAGATTAAATCCAGGCACACATCCAAGGATACTAATAGCATTTTTAAAAACCAGGCAGAGCCCATACGGCTCTCTTTCTCTCCCCCTCTCCCTAGAAATGGAAAGCCAGCTAGGAATGCAAACATGCTTTCCACGTAGCCTCTTGATGGCCTTTGATTAGGGACTCTGGCTTCACCCCCCTCCTGCAGTTTGAAGAACACATTTCTCCCTTAGCAGAACAAAATGCTATTTCTGGATAAGAGGCAGCTACCTGGTTGGCATTACTAAGCTGGTTGCTATGGTGAGCAGGACAGGAGTGAAGAGGGGGAGGCTGAATAAGGAAACGGATGTGGAAAGGCAAGATGAGGATCTCAGGAGATTGTGCAAGTCTAGGAAATGACTGAATGGAGGGAGACTTGGGGCAGAGGAGATTTTGGCAAATTGAGGCTGACTAAGGATGGGTAAAGGGACGCATTGGCTGAGTGGCTAAGATGCTGAGCTTGCTAATCAGAAAAGTGGGCAGTTCAGCAGTTCGAATCCCTAGCACCGCGTAACAGAGTGAGCTCCCTGTTACTTGTCCCAGCTTCTGCCAACCTAGCAGTTCGAAAGCATGTAAAAATGCAAGTAGAAAAATAGGGACCACTTTGGTGGGAAGGAAACAGAGTTCCATGCACCTTCGGCGTTTAGTCATGCCGGCCACATGACCACGGAGACGTCTTCGGACAGCACTGGCTTTTCGGCTTTGTAACGGAGATGAGCGCTGCCTCCTAGAGCCGGAAATGACAAGCACGTATGTGCAAGGGGAACCTTTACTTTTACAGATGGGCAGTGCAGAACTATACATGTCATGCCACTGTCATGCCCTTGTTAGAGTCAGACTCTGAGGGAGAGGTGGAACAGCTGATAGGGATTGGAGGTGTGGCTCTGGAAGTTGTGGAGGAGGCTGGGGAGGGGCAGAGGCCGGCTGGGCAGTCAGAGGAAGAACCAGGCCCATCCCCTCTGCATTCTAGGACACGCAGGGAGGAACGGAGAAGGCAACAACTTGGCTTGCGAGAGAGGAAACAGCCATGATCCCTCTCATTGGTTGCAGCTGGGGAGAATAGTATATAAGAGAGATGGTTAAAACACAGCGTTGCCAGAAGCAAAACGTGTGTTATTTTGGACTGAAGTTATCTTGGTTGGCGTCCTTCCAACAGATTGTGCCGTGTTATCTCCTTGAAGTTGGTAATTACTTATCCTGGTCCGTTGTAGAAATTTCTTCATTGTAGTTTTAGTTTTTTATTTCACCTCTATCTGCTCATTAAGTTCAGACTGTATTGCTTTCTTTTGAAGACTATTTTTGAATACGTTTTATCTCCAACTGAGAATTATTGAACAGTGGGGCCAAGTTGGAGGCATTAAAGGACATTTATTTATGTTTTGGATTTTGTTACATTTGTGCCACGCTCTGGGTCATCACAGCCACAAGGAGAAATGAGAAACTGATGCAGGGATAGGAAAGGAGGAAGCACTTTTACCTGTCTCTCCCCAGACTGGAAGGTATTCATCCTGTTGAATGTCCAGCATGATCTCCAAGCCGTTGCCGGTGCCCCCTTTCATGGCAATGAGGGGTGGCTTGTCAGACTGGCCAGAATTGAAGGTGTAGCACTTTCCGTAGCGAGTGAAAACCTGTGGAGGAGAAAAACTAGGCTTAGGATAGGAGCCTGACACTTCCTCTGGAGGCCAGTGGGCTCTCCTAGCCTTGATAACCAAGAGCAAGCCAGAACAGAAAAGTATAACCTACAGCATTGTCACATTGTGTCTTTCAACAAGTGTAGTAAGTGCACTCTTTGGGCCTGGTGGACACCTCTGGAACTTGGGAGCATGTTGTGGCACTCTTGCAAAATGGCTGCTGGGGGCGAGGCTTGTCCAGTTCCAAAATGTGCCACAAGCATTGATTTGCTAGACCAGGTGGGGAACTATGGCCCTTGTATGACTTGTGGACTTCAACTCCCAGAATTCCTGAGCCAGCATGCTTGCAGTGACCACATGTTCTTTATTATAAAGGACAGTCTTTGCTTCCTTGAAAGCCGTGCTGTAGATTTATTTATTTTTCAAAAACTCATTTTTGTCATTTAATTTAGCTATTTAACTTTTAGCACACAAATGGTACCACTTAATTCACACACAGTCTTTCACATTCAGGTAAAAAAATAAGAAAACTGGATTGTCTTTTTAAAACTAATTGATATATTCTGTTTGGTTTTAGATATTTTATTATAATATGCATTTCTTGGTTTTACACCTGAATTTTCCTTTGTAAGGCAAAGTTAGAAACATAATCCATTTAATATTTTTTTTTTTATCATAATGAACCTCTTTCAGATTTGTCTCCTTTTCAAATTTGCCTTTATTTCCCACCCCCAAGAAAACATCGTCTCTGTAGGCATACCTGGAAATAAATATGATATTGGGGCCCGACTTTTTCCTTTGCAGTAGCTTGTTGCGAGCTCCCCTTTAAAAATTATTATCCTTTTTAAAATGCCAATTCAGCTGAAGGAAGGTGTTCTGTCTTTTAATTGGCTGACTGAATATAAAGACAGACAGGTAACTCTACAAAGGCTTCCATACAAAGTTTCTTTATTGGTTCACAAGGCATCCTCAAATATAACTCACAGTTACGTCGAGATTCATCTTAATATCCAACTCTTTGCACAGATGACTTCATAGTGTAAAAGAATAGTGATCTTTCATCCCATAACGAAGGAGCAAGGGGGTGAGGCACCAGCACGCTGCTGGGGTCCAGGCAAGAGTGAAGGACCTCCCCCAACCCAACTAAGGGTCAATTCAATGACCAATCAGGATTACAGATGTGACCACATGACATGAACTACATTTCCCAGGATGCATTAACTACATTTACCATGAGGCATTCCCTTAAGGGGACAGCTCCCAATTCTAATTTAACTATCTCAACTCCCATTACCTATATACTGTCTGAACAGCACAGAAGGAGCAAAGGAAGAGATGTTTGAGAGCACACTGGCAACCTGGATACTACCTTAGGGACCTTCCTCCCTTTCCCAGTTCCTCCTACTTTGGAGCCAGTCAGTTCCACTATGAATAATTACCAGTGGGAAACAGATGAGAACCAAAGACACAGGTTAGTGAAAAATTATGGCCATTTGCTTGTTAGGCATAAGGAATGTGCTGGATTGGAGGTTAAAAAGTGCCATGCATAGAAGGAGCCGACAGGATTCATTTACTTTACTCAGGAAGCTAACTATTTCTGATGAATTCTCTTAAGAAAATGTAGCTAGCCCGGGAGGGCGGAGCTGGCGTCGCGACAATATGGCATGCGATCTTGGAGGTCTGAGATCGCTGCCGATATCTTTGCTCTTGGATAGTCCAATTGGATCTAAACCGTCCTGAAGAGATGGTGAATGTAAAGAGTGCATCCTGTCGATCCCAGGGATACCGCAAAGTCCCTGGTAGATCCAGGAGAAGCTCTTTTTGCCAGCAGCAAAGAGGCAGCCATTAAAGCTGCTGAAGTTGGGACAGCTCCAAAACGAAAGAGAATGGAAAGAGAAAGTGTGCCGGTTTGGTGAGAACTTTTTCTTTATTTTAAGATTTGAAAGGACACCCTAAGGAAAAGAAAGAATCTGTAAAAGTTTTGACAGAAGTGATTAAGCGGCGATTTTAAACAGGAATGTTAAAGTAATATTTTTTTTTTCTCATTGCTGGATTTTCTATACATGATTTTATATTTTGAAACTGGACTGGTCTTTTCTTCTTCCACCTATTCTTTCTCTCCTTTTTGACTTTGTAATATTTTAGGCTAGAGACTCCCTTTTAGTCATCTTTTTAAATATCATTTTCCCTTTTTAATTAATTTTCATTATATTTTGTTTGGAAAAGGAGGGGGAAAGTGAAAGCAAAAGAAACTTTGTAACACTGCCAACTAGAGGCTTGGAAATATTTTATTTTATTTTTTCTTGACCAAAGCTGAGAAAGAACTGAGACTTCTTTTCAAGGACATTGCCTGTTTGATAAGATAGAGGGAAGAGCATGAGAGAGTATTATTGCAGGTGCTCTTCTGGGTTTCTATCAACATCTGGAGTCTGGTGTTGAAGCTTATAGAAAAAAAGGTGATAAGACTCTGGAGAAGAGAGTTATAAATTTTAACAAAAGCCTTGGACAATCAAACAAGGTGCAGTGTGCTCTTTTTATCTTTTTTAAGCTGCGCTATTTCCTACCTTAACAAACCCCCTCCTTACTAGTTTAAATTTTTATGTTTGCATTTTATTTTAAAGGAAAAACTTTAGTATTAATGATTTCTTTCCTTTTTTTAAAACGGAGTAGTCTTTTTTCTCTCTCTCTCCCTCCCCTGTATTTTTTTTTCTCTATTTACCTTACATATTGGGGTTTTTTTGTGGCTTTCTTTTTTTTTTTTATGCATCCTTTTATACCTGAGACATCTTAATTGGATTAAGGTGTTGAAGAACCTGAAGAACTGTTTTTTTTTCTCCTTATTAGTTTTTTACCTTTTACTTTTCTGCCTTTTTCAGGATTTAACAATTTTTTCTTTTTTGTGTGTGTTTATGCTTTTTTCTACCATTTTTGAGTTTTTACTGCTATCTAGCCAATCAATGGGATTAAGGTATACAAGAACCTGAAGAAATTGTATTATTATTATTATTATTATTATTATTATTATTATTATTATTATTATTATTATTATCGCTACTATTTGGTTTTTTTTTTCCTACCATTTTTATTTGGAATTGCAATTGGTTATTTCACAAGTGGATTAAGGTCTAGAAGAACCTGAAGATTTTGAATTGTTTGAAATGAGTAGGAAACTAACAGCCCCTGGTTCCTCAACTTCTACTTCTTCCTCTTCATCATCTGGAGGACAACGTTCAATACAGACAATGTTACAGCAAGAAAAGGAACAGGAAAAAGTGACCCTGCAGATGATTATGCAAGGAATTCAAAATATTCAAATAAGAACAGAGAATATTGAAAAGAGAACAGAGAACATTGAACAAAGAACAGGGAAAACTGATGAAAAGGTGGAGAACATTCAACAAATGATGATGAAGTATGATGAGAGATTCCAAAAAAATGAAGAAGAAGATAAAGAGATAAGAAGATTGGAGACATTGATAGCAGTTTAACTGTGGTTGAACAAGATAAAAGTAGGATGCTGAGATGGGAGATGGACAGATCAGAATTTTATCTCAGATTCCAAAACATAGAGGAAGAAAAGGGACAAAACCTAGCTGAGATAATGATAGAAATTTTGGCTGAAGCTTTGGAAATAACTAAAGAGAACATGATGGATGGAATAGATTAGGTTTATCGAGTCTTCACAAGATATGCAATGAGAAATAGCTTACCAAGAGAAGTTCACATCAGATTTACAAAGAAAGCCATTAAAACGCAAATATTGCAAGTGGCAAGAGAGAAAACATTGAAATATAAAGACAAGGAGATTGTGGTCCTGAAACAAGTATCCAGAAGAGTGAGAGAGATGAGAAGAGAATACTGATTTCTGACCAAAATGCTACTTAAAAAAGAGGTGAATTATAGATGGCTGATTCTAGAAGGTTTAATGTTCACATGGCAAGAACAGAGACATAGAATTGACTCAGTTGAGAAAGCTGAATCATTTTACACAGAATTTTTTGGAGGGAAAGAGGAAGAGAAAGAAAAAGAAATCTCACTAATTGAATTCCAAGAGGACTGCCAAATGGTGACTGAAAAAGAAGAAGGTGCAGTAGGTGGAAAGGTGGAAGCTAAAGAGCAATGTGAACCAAGATCTACGAGAGCTGCTAAACCTAACTACAAAATATAATCATGGAAGAGAAAAAACTGATTACAATTAATATAAATGGACTTAACTCAGCTGTTAAAAGAAGGAAAACTTTCCATAAATTAGAGAAATTAAAATTTGATATAATCTGCCTACAAGAAGTACATATCAAAAAGCAACATGAACAACTGTTGATACAGCCAAAATTAGGGAAAATATTTACTTCTTTGACACAATGCAAGAAAACAGGAGTGGTTTTATACATTAAAGATATTCTCCCAGCGAAATTGATCTATACTGATGACGATGGAAGAACACTAATGGTGGAAATAATGGACAATAATATGAAAACACTCCTGATTGCAATCTATGCCCCGAATGACAATCACGAAGAATTTTATAAAAAATTACACATGAAAATAATTGAATTGGACTATGCTAATATAGTTATGATGGGAGATTTTAATGGAATTGTAGATAATAAACTGGACTATACAGCATAGAAAACAACAAAGCAAAACAGAAAGACTCTCCCTAAATCTTTTTTTAAAATGGTAGATGAAATAAAGATACATGGAGAGAAAGAAATGCTAAAACTAAACAATACGCTTTCTACTCACATAGACATTTATCATGGTCCAGAATAGATATGATATGGATGTCAACAGAATTGTTAGCTAATATTCAAGAAATAAATATTGAAACAAGTACTTGGGCAAATCACAATCCAATGACAATTAAATGGAAAGGACAAAGAAGAAGATCTAGATGGACATTAAATAATACTATATTAAAGGAAAAAGA